AAAAATATTTAATGTTAGCCGCAACAAAGAAAATGTATAATTATCTTTTTGTAATAAATAAAATCAAATTTTTACAATTAAGATTAAATATCACGTGACATAATCGAATATTTTGATTGTATTTTTCGTACCTTCAATTAATTCAGGAAGCAAAATATACATATAAATCATAATAATTATTCAACCTTTTTGAATTAAATACGTGCTTACGTATGTTTTTTTTCACTTGAAACTATCGTTTCGATTTTTTATCATGCTTTTATTTATTAATGAAATGTAATGAGTGCCGGTAAAACTCATATTGATGATTGTTAATTTTCTATATATGTTGATCATGTAATTGATGCAATGACACGTGTCTTGTTTTTAACAAAGTCTGTGATCGTTTAATTTATTTATATCATAACTTTTTAAACAAGTAAAGGTAAGTTTCCCTAGTTAGTTTATTCTATATACATTATAAAATCACTTCTTTTATTTTTTTTACGCTTTTAGACGTTAATGGAGGGAAAAGGGGACCAGATTTCCAACGATGCCAGCGAATATTTTGAGAATGTAAAGCCATTTCTGAAAGATGATGAGTTATGGAAGGATGAAAAAAATAACCAAAAGAAAGGAGGTAAAGGGATACTTAATTCTTTAATATTACTGATTTCGATTTGAAAGGTTTACAAAGTATTTGTGACGAAGGTATCGAAGAATATGAAGCGACCGCACTTTCTAAAAGCAGTTTAAAAAGTATTCATTTATTCCAACTTTTGATTATGTTAAATCATTCAGTCTATTTATCAGAAAACTTTGATATTAAAGGTAATTATTATATAGGTTCTACCAAAAGGAAAATAACTGATGACGCTCAAGGAAATCAAAGACCGCGTAAAAGTATTACTTTTTTTTTATTATTTGAATTATTAATGTTAAGTATTGATCTTTTATAATATTAAAATGACAATATTTAAAATTAGGATTATTGACTAATGATTAAATGAAATGTATACGAAGCTTCGAGCCATAACTTGATTTTTCTTCACAACTGTGGTGTGGAATATAATTTTACGAATTTCTCAAATCCTGCTAAACACGAATTGGGTGTAATATGTTTTAAAAATTATTATTATTCTGAATTTATTGAAAATTCTCATAATTTTCGCTACTTTGAAAATAAAAATTTAGTGATATGAACTTTTCAATTTGAAAATTTGTATAATTATTAAGTCAAGGTATAATTGACGAATACAGTTATTTAAACAAGAATATTTTAAGAAACGATAATATAAATACTGAATTTGTATTAATACATTGTGTTTATTTATTATAAATTATTAAATTGATAATAAGTACAAATAATGGAGATAAGGGAGTATATATTATAATATAAAATCTTTCAATTAACAGTCTCTTAAAAATAATAGTCATCAACCAAATTCAAAAGATTCACAAAACCTTTCTATAAAAAAACTAATTAAAGTTGACACCAACTATCTATAGAGGATTTGGTGTTGTGAATAACTAATTTATTACGTTTATTTCGAATGAAAATTTTTTTTATAAATACGGTGAGTCATTCAAATTCAAAAATTCATATTTTCATAATACAAATTATATTTACAAATAATGAAATTTCTTTTGATACGCTCCAAAATTAAAATCCAGTCCTATACCAATTACGTTCCTTAAAGATTGCATAATTGATATATTTAGGTCGAGTGGTGCTTAATAAAGTTGACGATAACGTTAGCGGTCAGTGAACATGTCCCCACATTTTTAGGCTATTGCTAAGATAAATATCATAAAATAATTTTTATATAAAAACTTAAAATTAGTATTTTAAATCCATTTTTTTTTTATTTTTAAATAAATTTATAGTATAAATAAGATTATATTTGTATTTAAATGCAAAATATTTATAATAAATAAATTAATTTTTGTTTAATATTTACATTTAATTTTAATATGATAAATGTATTTATATAAAACCTTAAATTGGTATTGTAAACTTTTAAAATTCGTTTTTATGTAAGAAATTTTAAATGTTAGCGATGTCACGTGATCAGCAAGCAATACATATGCGCAGTAAAATTAAAGAAATTTTGATGTTACACGAAAATTCATCATGGGAGTTGCTATCTATTATAAGATCGGCATAATGCATATTATTAAAAAAGGCAATTTTTAACATTTACTTATATGCTAACGTTACTTTCTAACAATCCTAGCCTTTTGAAATTTTTATGTAAGAATAAACAAGTCATGAAGTTTCTAAATATGAATTTATTAATATTATTATAACAATAGTTTTAAACAATCTTCAGTTTTAAATAAACAAATTATCTTGCTCTATAGCGCAATAAAGTATGACGAACTTAAAGTTCCTCTATGTAAAAGTCAAAAATAATATTTTAAACCTATATTTTACTTATAATTAAAGTTATAGAGCAGGTTAAATCACACATAATGTCCAAATTTAAGAAATTTATAATTGTTATATTTATAAAAATAGCGTTACAAATCGTAAAAATTCATGGAAATTCGCTAATTTTTAATTTCTTAATAGCTAGAACGATAAGTAATGTATCGGAAACACCCTTTTTAACAAATAAAATTGAACTATTTTATTTATTTATTTAGAAGATATGATAACTAATATAATAGTAAGTGACTATTTGGTAATATTGCTAGAACGATTTCACGATCATTCATGCAAGTACGATAAATTCGATATTATCCTTATTAAAACGATGGTATCGAAATCATTCTTTTTAGAATGATAATTTCGCAATCATTCATATAAGAATGATAAATTCAAAATTGTCTTTATTAGAATGATAGTATTGAAATCGTTCTTGCTAGAACGATGATATTGAAATCGTTCTTACTAGAATGATAATTTCGCGATCATTCATGCAAGAACGATTATTTCAAAATCGTTCATGCAAGAATGATAAAATCGGAATCATTCTTGCTAGAACGATGGTTCTGAATCGTTTATGCAAGAATGATAAAATCGGAATCTTTCATGCAAGAACGATAAATTCAAAATCGTTCTTGCTAGAATGATGATATCGAAATCGTTCTTGCTAGAATGATGATATCAAAATCGTTCTTGCAAGATCGATGGTATCGAAATCGTACTTGCTAGAATGATGATATCAAAATCGTTCTTGCTAGAACGATGATATCGAAATCGTTCTTGTTAGAATGATGATATCGAAATTGTCCTTGCTAGAACGATGATATCGAAATCATTCTTGCTAGAATGATGATATCGAAATCGTCCTTGCTAGAACGATGATATCCAAATCATTCTTGCTAGAACGATGATATCGAAATCGTTCTTGCTTGAACGATAATTTCAAAATCGTTCATGCAAGAATGATAAATTCGAAATCGTCCTTGCTAGAACGATAATATCGAAATCGTTCTTACTAGAATGATGGTATCGAAATCGTTCTTGCTAGAACAATGATATCGAAATCGTTCTTGCTAGAATGATAATTTCGGAATCATTCTTGCCAGAACGATAGTATCGAAATCGTTCTTGCTAGAATGATGGTATCAAAATTGTTCTTGCTAGAATGATGATATCGAAATCGTTCTTGCTAGAATGATGGTATCGAAATCGTTCTTGCTAGAACGATGATCTCAAAATCGTTCTTGCTAAAACGATGATCTCAAAATCGTTCTTGCTAGAATGATGATCTCAAAATCGTTCTTGCTAGAACGATGATCTCAAAATCGTTCTTGCTAGAACGATGATCTCAAAATCGTTCTTGCTAGAACGATGATCTCAAAATCATTCTTGCTAGAATGATGATCTCAAAATCGTTCTTTCTAGAACGATAAAAGGAATTATTCTTGCTAGAACGATGGTGCCTAAGATCATTCTTGTAATAACGATTATTTCAAAATCGTTCATGCAAGAACGATAAATTCAAAATCGTTCTTGCTAGAACGATGATATCGAAATCGTTCTTGCTAGAATGATAATATCAAAATCATTCTTACTAGAACGATAATATCAAAATCGTTCTTGCTAAAATGATGATATCAAAATCGTCCTTGCTAGAATGATGATATCGAAATCGTTCTTGTTTGAATGATAATTTCGAAATCGTTCATGCATGAACGATATATCGGAATCGTTCTTGCTAAAATGATAATTATAATTCTTTCTTGCAATAATGATAATTCAAAATCGTTCTCGCTACAAAGATGAATAATATCGTTCTTTGAAAATCTAATTAATATCGGATCTTCTCATTCTCAGGCCAAAACTTCCATCTCAGAAATTCTACCAATTAAAGGCAGATATTCTGAAATTCTCAGATCATCTCGGAGGTTCTACTAAAATATTTTCTTTCAAATCAGAGAACAATAATACATCATTTTTAAAAGTCTAAATGGCTAGGCTTTTCTTTATATAAGATCGTCAGATATTCTGAAATTCTCGGATTTGTCAATCTAAAGATCATCTCAGAAGTTCTACTAAAAATATTTTTTTCAGATCGGATAATCAACCGCGTTTTGATATTTTTCATTAATTAAAGTGATTTTTTTAAAAAATATTTTATTAAAAATATTTTTAATTTTTTAAAAAAAATTAATTTTTTCTAACAACAACAATACAAAATCAAAGTTTTTTTTTAAATTATTTTAATTTTTTATGAAATAACAAAAATGTCAATTTCACAAAATAAAGGTAAATAAAATTAGTCATAATCATAATAATGATAATACTATTTATTAATGTTAATAATAATAATTTGTTTTTAATTACATAGAAATAAGTGAACAACTTGATTCTTGGAATATTGATATGTATGAAGATAATTTTGAATTTAATTTTCCAAATGAGGATGAAGAAATATTAATAGTAGATGATGATTTAAGTTCTACGATTACTAACCTTGAAAGTTATACCACAGAAAGTACTAGTAACAGTGAAGAAATTTTACTTAGATTAGATGAATCAGCTTTAGAAGAAGCTCAAAACTTGTATAATGATAATATTATTGAAGAAAATATTGATTGGGAAGGTATTGATTTTGAGGAAGAAAAGTCAGAAATAGAGCCAATTATTACAAGAATTATAGATGAAAATAATGATAATTATCAAATTAATAATGTTTCTGATCAATCTTTAACATCTTGTGTTGTTTTAGATATGATAAATGGTAAAATTCAATGCTGTACAAATAAAACAAAAAATCAACGTCCATTAGCACAACTTATTGGAACATGGGAAATTGATAATGAAATGTTTACAAATACAAAAGTAGATAATAAATTACATACTTTAGGAGTTTGCATAACACATTATAATTTTGATCAAAATGCTTTACATAATCTAAAATTAAAACAAGAAAGATCAATTGAAAAAAGTTGGATTTATCATCGTAGATGTTTATTTTGTAATAAATATAAATATTTTTTTAGCCGTGGAAGTAATTGCTTACAACATTCAGTAAATATAATTGGAAGAAATATACAAGTACCATGTGTTGGTTTAAAAGTTTGTCCTGTTTTTAATGCAAAAAATACCATTATTAATCAATCAAATAGTGAATATAGATCACGTTATGTTTGCTCACAATATTTTAATTTACAAGGAGATCATTTTTTTGAACGTTTAGGTAGTGAAAAAAATCTTATTTATGTAATGATAAACATAAGAATGATACAACTGAAACACTTGAATTATTTGGAAATTGGATT